ACTAACTTTCATTTACGTAATACTATTTGCCCTGTGCTGACAGCACTCATAATTTTTTTTATATATAATATTTGTAAGGGTTTTTAACCAAATTTCACAAGATATCTTTAAAAATATTACTAATTAATTAATTATTTCTACGTAATATTTTGCGATATATTCGATGATATCACTGAGCTTTACGTAGAAAATTATTTCCGTGAGAAAAAACTTTTCTAACGTTATTCGTAGTTACATTTAAAAGTTGTAGTATTTGCTGTATGTTAAGTTGTCTATATGTCACATTACAAATTGTAAATTAGTTGTAAAACCACAAAATACCACCCTAACTACGATTACATGGAAGAAATATCATCTAGTAATAAAAAGATATCAATTTGTTTCAATTAAATCGGAATTACAACTCTGTTATAGCTTTTATTTTAAATTTTCCCGGCGCCTTCACCAAAATTTTTAGTATGATTTTCTTTGATGATAATGTTTGTGAATCTTCATGGGTACAAATTTTCTAATATTTTTTTACATGTGCAATTAACTTCTTATTGACAAAAGAACCCAATGTTTTGGGTCTGTGTTCTTGCAAAATGAATCAAGAATTAACACTAAGATTTTCAAACAGTCCTAATTACAACCCTAGCGAAACCATTTAATAGAAATTATTAATGTTATGCAGTACCAGAACATGAAAACATTTATCAATTACCTGATCTTCTCGAAGTTTTCTCGCATCTCTGGATTTTTTCGCGGCCTTATTATTCCTTTTTCTTTTCTCATAGTACAGAGCGTCTTTTTTTTCTTCGGGGACGGGCTTCTTTTCGTTGCGCTGTTTTTTTAATCGAGCATTCATCATATCTCCGAATGCGTCTAGAAAACAAAAGCATTAATAAAAGATTAATCGTTCATCTGTCTTTTTTTTGTATCGTTAAATACAGTTATTACCGTGTGCATGGTGGTCAAAAGCAGGATAGGGCCTTAAACGGCGTTGAATGTCGTTGATGTAACTTTTTTGAAAATTATCGTAAAACTGAGTTTTGTACAATTCAGGGCACACTTTTAAATTATGGGATTGGGTTGGGCAAATAGCGAGTGGATGGAGTTTATTGTTCAAAGCTGAAAAAGCACAAAATACACATTAGGTAGACCACCAAAATAATTTGAAAGACCTTACCCTTTGAGGTTTCATCTGTTATGTAATACCTTTTAAAAATTCCATTGGAAAAAATGAGCGGGGTGTCATCGCAAAAATGATTATTATGAAAGCTCTGTATGGGTTCCATTCATTAATGGGTTATACGGAAATGAAATCGAAAAAAAGTATTTTGTTTTATTAAGCTTTTAAAACATTTGCATATGGGATCGTACTTTACATTGAATCACTGAAAGTCTAATGATGTTTGTATATTTAAACACTTGATTTTATAACTTTATTACTTATTGGTTGCTATGAAAGCTCATACAACGTTGCCAAGCTCAAAAGCTCAAAGTATTTTACGTAATTTTTATTTTTAATACTGCAACATAAAGAAAATCCACAATTCAAACTTGAAACGTATTAATATTAATGGAATTGCTTTCTGTTTGACTTTTGTGTTATATAAAAAGAGTGAAAGCATACCTGGTTCTGTGTAGGTATAGTTTTTTCGATTTAGTATAAAACTTCGCATTTGGCAACATAATTTTCAAAGCTTTAATTTTAAAAAGAACTGGGATTGGTTGGTATACGCCTACGTAGACACAGAATTAAACCTATTGGACACGGTTTAATGTTAAAATAATGTTTGGTAAGTCTTGCTTGTTTCCCACATAACTCCACCCCATGATAGGGGATGATAACATTTACAAGAGCATTATTTAATTATTCATACAGGTCAACTAGAATATGTATAATCAGAACGCACTGTGACTATGAAATTGTTAAAACAGCGACTTACTTACATGGGATTTCCCCGAATGATAACGTAATGCGAAACGTCTTTTATTTTTCAACATTTGTATTGCATTTATTAAAACGAAATACCTGCCAAGGACATCATTTGATCGTTTTTTGTTTACTAGCTGTTAATACATACTATTTTGATGTTTTTTCATTACCTCAATTGTTTAATTGTTTGATATTTGTTTTCGTTTGTCAGTTTTTTTAATTGATTGTCATTTTTCTTAACAAAATGCGTTCGATTATTATTTCTCCTAATAACAACTATTAATATTTCAAAAGTAGGCAAATAAAACAGAGATTGTTTTTTCATCCCTTTAAGAACGGTTGTCAGTAAATAAGTTAGATATCTGAAATAACAATAATAGCTTATTTTACGGGAACAACAACACATTATCATCATATTCCATGCAAACGTGAAGTGGTGTGGTACGTCGTGGGAAAATATCGAGCTGGGCCATGTGGCCTTTTACGCCTCTACGTAAACTTTGAGTCAACTTACGTATGATTAAACATTTAAAATTCAAGGGGCGCAAAGATCAAACGACTTCTTGACACCTTCGTGACAAAGTAACAAAAGAAAATGCACACAATCGCGAACGTCTCTATCAAATTTCGTTATGTCAAAAATTGATGGTAGCTATTCAACCCTTAATTAAACTGGCTCAAACAAATCTAAAAACTTTTTTTTAGATCCACCAAATTCGTACTTAATAAAAATTATAATTTATTACCCCTACAAGAGTGCGTTAAATAATTATGAAAAAATAAACATAATCTACTAATACTAACTAACAATTAACTTAAACAATCAGACTAATGGGTTGTGCAGTCAAAAGATTTAGTTTTCCTATAGCGATGCTTTATAATGTCGGCAGCTTTTTCGGCTACCATATAAACTGCAGGCATCAAATGACCAGAAATTGAAGACGGTATGACGCTGGCGTCCACTATCCTCAAGTTTTCCGTACCGTGAACTAGCAGTTTATCGTTTACGACTGACGTTTCGTGACTTTGACCCATTTTGCACGTGGCCACGGGATGATAAATGGTCGTACCGTAGTGTTGGATAACGCATTTCCAATAATCAAAACTTCTAAACTCGTAATCTTTACAATAGGTACTCTCTGGAACGACTGTGGTGTTATATTTTTGTAATGGACCGGATTCGTAGACATCCACCAGAAAATCTAGCGTTTCTACAAGAGCATTCATGTCGTCTTCTTCAGTGAGATAATTGGGATCGATCAGGGGGAAGTCCAAAGGATCTGCTGATTGCAGGGTCACCTGAATTATCAAGAGAAATGTAATTAAAAACGAAAGAGATAAGCGAGATTAGGTTTTTACCTGTCCAACTGATTTTGCATGAAGAAGAATTCCTCCAGCTTGAGCAACAGCGTATTTACCCCCTGTGATCCTCACTTCCTTGTTTTCCACGGCATAGACCGCTGACGTTGGAATCACATTGATTTCAGTTACAGGATATCTCTTGTGTTCAATGAATCCGATCGCTTCAATGTTTCCAACGTTGATGGTCAGTCTACCAAAACCTTGCAGATATTGGACCACGTCGCTTCTTATGGTTCTCTTCTCCTCTGTATAGTTCGTGGTGACGTTCATGGCCCTTTGAACGTAAAACTGGTCCAACATGTTCTTTCCAACGGGCAGATTCTTTAGAACGGGAATACTGAATTTGTCCAGTTGTTCTTTCGGCCCAAGGCCCGAAAGCATCATGATCTGTGGAGTTTGGATGGAACCGGCGGCCATGATTACCTCTTTGGTTGCTGTGACGATGTATTTTCTGTTGTTGTGTATGAACTCGACCCCGTTCGTTCTTTTTCCGCGTTGGTCCATCAAAATATGCGTGACGTAACATTCCGTTTTTACCTGCGAGAATTTCGAATTAACTTTAGCTGTGTCCATCATTAAATGTTATCTTTACAGACCTTCAGGTTCTTCCTGTCTTCGTTGGGGAACAGGTACGCCGCTGCGCTCGTCAATCTTCTGCCGTTTCTCTGAGTGAATTGATTGTAATTAATACCAAAAAGATTTTTGGCATTGTAGTCTGTGATCGGGTAGCCGAATAAACCCATCGCTTCCATGAAGGTTTTAGTGATATTGGATGGGGTTTTGTAGTTTTCGAGGGTGACTGGTCCTGAAAATCCGTGGTATTCCGCGTCGATACCAACAAGAGAGGACGCGTTTTCGTATTTTTTGAAGTAGGGGAGAACGTCGTCGAAGGACCATCCCTTGTTGCCCATTGCGGCCCATTTGTCGTAGTCTCGCCAGTTTCCACGGATATTTGCCAGACCGTTTATGCCAGTGGAACCACCATAGATTTTACCTCGTGGGTAGTCACAGCGGAATCCTGGTTGATCTAGAGAAAATACCAAGAATGTCTAATAGCATGCCATAAGGATTTTATCGCGTTCTTTTATTACCTCTGCAAGCAACTTTCTGGGGAACCGTCCTGAATCCCCAATTGTACTCGGAATTCTTGAGAAACCCGTCCATAGCAGGGATATCGACGTAATCGTTTTCTCTTTTGCCGGCTTCTAGAACCAGGACGGACACATCCGGTCTCTCTGTCAGTCTACCAGCGATCACACTGCCCGCCAATCCTCCACCAACAACCACGAAATCGTAACTCCCGATGGCTGTAACATTTTAAACAATTTCCTCAAAATTGTAACCCTACATGAAGGAAATAAAAAAAATCCCTACCAACGGGTGCTTCATCGGTATTTCTGACGTTGAACTCGGAACAAAATTCTGGTCTTTGATATGTACTTGTTTGTACAGTGTTTTGAATGATGAGATTTTCGTAATAATCGACTTCATCCCCCTGCGGATAGACAGGATGGGCGAAGAATAGAGCGAGGATAACTATTTCAAAAATCGCCTTCATTGTCCAGTACAAACCCAGCCAGTCACCAGAACTTATTAACGTTTTTACCAATTAGTTACCATTAAATAATAACGGAATGTGACAAAACATCACACTATTACAGGTGAAAGTTGCTCGGACTAATTAGAGTCCTAATGTTATCTACTTAAATACTATCCCAATCGAATAACGTCATACTTCGCCTTGTAAATTTTTTAAAAATACTTATCATAACACGATATATAGTCGAAATTGTTGTTTGCGTTGTTTCTACTTCAAAATACCATTGAAGGAACGTTGAAGGTTTCATTTATGGTACCTAGAAAGCTACAGTTAGTCGAGTATCTGATCTGAGCTGGAGTTACCCAAAAATGTCCCCACCTTAATTAAAAACATACTAATTCGAGAAACTCGAACAATTACTGTATTTCCTTGAGATAATGTTTAAACAAACATTGTTGCATCTAACAATTAGATGATTTCAAATGTTACTAAATAAATAGGGTTGAGGGTGAGCATTCGTGATGAAACAATAAATAAATAATATACAAATTTGTCTTCTCATAAT